AAAAGAATCATATCACAGTGATACATGTGCATCCATGTTCATAGCAGCACAATTCAGGATAGCTAAAACTTGGAAGCAGCCCAAATACCCATCAAGTGGAAACTGGATAAAGAAGATGTGGTTTTTTGATAAAATGAAGTATTACTCAGCTATCAAGAATGAGAAACTAGAGACATTTATAGCTAAATGGATGCACATTGAGGCCATATTCTTAAGTGAAATAAATTGGACATGTGTAAATACCAAATAATTTCTCTGGTGTGAGAAACTGAAAGTGCAAATAAGGATCAAAACGTATAATAATGTGAAATAGGAAGGACAGGTGCAAAGGAGAAGGGGAAGTGGGAGGGGTGGGGAAAAGAAAGAAGGGAAAGGGCAAAATGTGAGAACAGGAAAAAATAGAAACAGTCTTACAAACAGACAAGGGTGGAGGGGCTGAAGGGAGGGCAGGCAAATGGGGAAAAAATAAGAATTAAGATGGATTATGTAAAGGTGTAAATTTCTAATGATGAATGTCATTGTATTATATACCTTAAATGTACCAATAAACTTAATAAAATAATAATAATAATGGGAGTGAGAGTGTCCAAGTGTGAGGATCAGAAAGGAAAGCTCTGTGTGAGAAGCAGGTATTGCTGTTACCTGATTGATGAGAAGCCAGCCAGTGCAGAGAGAACCGGAGTGAAGACATAAGACGGGGTTCTGAGAAAGCAAAAAAGCAAAAAAAAAAAAAAAGTGCGTGTGAAACATAGGGATTTTGTGATGTAGCTGGAGAAGAAAATAGGGACTGGATTAGGCAGCTGTCATGAACCACGACAAGCAGTTCTGATTCTGTTCCCAGGAAGTCCTTATCTTTCAAAAGTAACACACATGCTCCAAGTGTCAAAGAGCTGGCACAAGGCAACAAAGGAGCAAGAACAAAGGTAAGAGCACCTCATCTGCCTGAGAAGGTTAGGGCCTGGCTGAGGGGAGCCCAGAGGAGGGAGGAATTTCATGGCTGGAAAATGCATTTTTAAGTAGAGCCGAGCTTGTGAATTTTACCTTCAGCAAAACACAAGAAGCAAAGAAAAGCAAGTCCTAAAGGAGCACTTTCTTACAATGAGCTCGAGGTTCACTTGGAAAACCCCTTATTCACCCTTTTTATTACTTTGCAAAGTTACTGTACTCCCTCCAACAAGGAATTACCCAATCAAGCTAAAAGCAGAGCCAAAAAACTTAGATTGGCCCTGGCCCCAGCAAAGGTAAAATATTTGTTTAAAAAGGTAGATTTACCTATATTTACCCTCCTGAAGTCTGGGCTTGGATCAGTGCGTGCTAGAAATTATGCAAATATTTTTATAAAAAATGATCCCAGGAATCACAGGGGCAAGATGAACCATGTTGCATGTCACCTAAGAGGAAATTGAGTCAACGGCTCCATTTTCACTAATTATAGAAGCACTGACTGTTCTCTACAGACGCACAGTTAACACTTTCTGACTTGTCTGGATGCCTCTGGGTGATGATCCTGATGGAAGCAATGTACGATCTCCATTATCCTAAACAGCAAGGTAACAGATACTACTTCGGCAGTTCATTTGGAAATGGATGTAGAATTTTGTTATTGCCTAATTTGGGAAACTAATAGGAACTCCATTCCTGAATTTATGGACACAGAAGGATAATTAAATATCAAAAAGTAGTAACGTGCAACATAAAGATTTATTACATACATGTTCCCAGTCAAAACAAACAAAAGCCAGTAGAGACTTGCTAGTGAAGCTGGAGTTTAATTAGCATTTAGCTTTCTCTACTTGATGGACAACAAAACAGCTGCAGATAATGAGTATTAGAAGAAGCGTGGAAACCTCAGAAGACACTGCCTATTTGGATAAATAATCACTGCTCCTGCTTCACTCCTTGTGCCGCGGTATGACAAGGCTCAGCGAAAAGACAATGGTTTCTTTAGCATTTTTAACCTGTAATATATTGTACCCACTTCCCAATCCTATTTTCAAAGTGGTGCGTTAACTGAAGCAAAATATGAAGCAAAAAATGAAGCTCCCTTTTTATAATGACTATTGTTATGATTCTCGTTTTTATTTCAGTCTCCTGGGCAAGAACCAGTTTCAACTTGGATTTAGGTTTCTGTATTAGTCAGCTTTCCATTGCTTTGACAAAATAATTGAGAAAATTAATTTAAGGAGGAAAGATTTGTTTTGGCTCAGTTTCAGAGATTTTGGTCTGTGGCTGCTTGGACGCATCCTTACAAGGCTGTTGTTAAACAGGACCTCACAGCAGGGAAGGCAGAGTGGAGCACAGCTACTCACCTCATGGCAGCCCTTACATGGCAGGGGGACTGACTCTAGGAAAAGGTACAGTCCCCAAGGGCCACCCCCAAGATCTACTCCCTTCCACTATGTCCTGTCTCCTACAGTTCTCACCTCCTCCCAGTAATCCTTTCAACTTGGAATTCATCAATTGAGCCAGATCCTTCACGATTCAGTCACTTCTCAATACCCACATCTGATGCATGGGGATCTAACTTTCAACACGTGGGCTTTGAGATCATATCCAAACCACAAGTTTCCAAGGCCATGATCCAGAGATTAATAACATAACCATCCAGCCAGAAACCACTAGAAACCCTCCCTTCTTTCCTTTTTCTAAACACAAATGAAGTAGTAAGAGAATGTACTGCTTAGTTCAGGAGACACTGTGCAAATATATTCTCCAGCAGGAGAAATCCCCAGACTAACATCCTAAAAGTATGTAAGTGTAGTCTCAACCCTAGGGGGCTTTGTCACCGAGGGTGCTTCATCACCTTTCTGAGTCCCTGTCTTCCAAGGAAGAGGAAGTATTGTTTTAAAGCACTGTCAATGGCACTTGGAAAAAAGATCAGAGAGCCCTATCTGCCTTGCACTGCACAGTGAAACCTGTTATTGCTTTCTATGATCATTTTTTACTGAGACAAGTAGACAAGTAGACATGAGGCTGTATTACTCTTCTACAGTTGGGTGTCTACATTCTTATGTACCGCCCCACCAAGAACCCTTAGATGGTATTCAAAATACAAAAGTAAAATACCAGCAGAGTCTTTCATCTGTATTTAGGTAAGGAAGTGGAATGACAATTACCATTTTCAACCCCTAAATAATTAAATTTGTCAACAAACTGGAATGTTAGGAAAGGTAAATCAGAACAAACCATGCCATATCTATAATTTAAGGAACTTCATAACTATGTCTGCAGAGACCGTAATTCACTGCTATTATTTTTATATCACCTTTATCATTAGCACTATAATGCTCAGAAGAATTGCAAAACTGTACTGTGGGGAAAAATTAAAAGTTTACTATTTGTCTTGTTTTCCCTGTCCCAAAGTTTAGAGTGTTATTCATAAAGGCTTCCTTTCCTCGTGATGTTTTTAAAGTTATTTTTTTTGTTCTAAAACTAATATATTATCATTACAGAAATTAAAGTAGAAAATATATAAAGATACAATGAGGAAAAGAAAATATATCCGTAAGCTTACTCACCTGTGCTCAGTTCAGCCATAACAGCACCAAAGTAACCATTCACGGTAGGATAGATGGTTGTGATTATATTCTAATAACATTTATTCATAAAAGAAAACTTTATTTCAAAAACTAGAATTTTCGGGGCTAGGGATTTAGCTCAGTGGTTCCAGTGCCTGCCTCGTAAGCACAAGGGCCCAAGTTCGATCCCCAGCACCAAAAAAAAAAAAACTAGAATTTTCCAGTGGTAGTGGTGATGGCTGTACAATGTGAATATACTTAATGCCAGCAAGTTGTACACGGAAAAACAGTTAAATGATGAGAGTTTATATTTTGTATATCTTACTAGAATTTAAAAAGAAATAAAAGGAAAATTTTGCCTATAAAATGTTTTCTCCAACTCCTGAGCTATCTTGTGTAATCCTTTTTGACTAAATGCTGTCGTTAAGTGGGTTTCGCCAAACTAAAAAGCTTCTAATACCTGATGCATAAATACTTTCAAAGATGATATTGCCCTTCTACCCAGTACTTCTTGGGATATGCTGAAACTCGCGAAAATACTTTTAGCTCTGAGATTAGAAAGCAAACACATTACCAAGGGGTTCGTAGTTTTTTCCTCCTCTCCGACATGGGATAGAGGCCATATGCCGAGAAGCTTCCCAATAGGCAGCAGTGGGCAGGTTGACATTTGGGGGTGCGTGTGGGAATGGAGTAACTAAGAAAATACAAAGACAGCTTGCTTGCCTGACAATCTGCTCTTTTTAAACTGATAGTTGAAAATAAGTACAATAGGAAATATGTCATTTAAATATTATCGGAAATCTGATTTTACAACATACCATGTATTTCAAACATCCAAGGCCCCATAGAACTGTTCACTTCAACTTTATTTCTAATTGCTTTTATTCAAAATTTGCACTAATGTTCGCTTGATGTGATTTTTTTTTTCTTCGTAAATGCTTTCAATAAGGTCCAACATTACTTAACCTATTTTATTCAACTTTAGCTCTGCCCACATACACTCCGGCTCAAAATAGGGGCTCTTCCACACGTGAATTTGGGGGGACTTTTATATGCTTCATTTTGCTTTTCAGTTTTAGTTGTTACCAACCCTGAGAAGCCAACCAAATTCCTTTCCAGTGTGGTCAGGGCTAGCTTTGCACCTCCACACGGTGATTAGTTGGTTATTCATCTGGTACCTTCCTATTCAACTTTGTCCTTAGCCTGAGAACTGCTCTTTCAGCTCACAACAAAGGATTTCATTGCTGTAGGAACTGAGGTGTGGCTCAGTTTTTACCTGGGAGAAAGAGTGATGCAAGGGTTTCTAATGAGACCGATCCTTGGGTTAGGGTGGGGAGGAGCCGCCTAGCAGGCCACCGGATGACTCTGGCGCCAGGCAGCAGAGGCATTGCTGCAGGAAGGCCCTGGACGTTCTCTGTGGACGGACGGCTGGGAGGACCTCCACTGAGGCTCCTGTGGATTTGTTCTCCGGGGAACAGAGACAATGGCTTGGCTCGTCCCCAGAGCCACCCAGGCTCTGGCCATTTTAATGGTAAGTCCTGTCTTTTCCTAAAAGTTTCGAGCTCTCCCTGTTTCTCTCCTTATTAGATAACGTTATAACTGATTATTGAATTCAAATTATAAATTCTAAAGCCATTGTATGACAAGACTGTGATGATTTCCAATTTCTTCCTTGCTGTTTTTAAATGCAGTATTTTACAAAGAAAAGTAAACCAAAAAGAAATGGATTAGACAGTAAAAATTTAGTATTCCCTTAGTTCGGGAAGCAAGTATTCCTAGGAGATAACGTTTCCACAATACCTTTATTTTCTTCAAACGAATGCTTTTACTCATTTTCCTAACACAAACACTGAAGCACATAAGAGAGAGCAAAGACACCATCTATTTTTTAAGATTACATGTCTCTTATTAACCATGTGGCTGAGAACTCTGCGTGCCTGGTCTTGATAGCTGACATGTTTTTAACACAGTTAAAAGACTTGAACTAAAATCAAAGTGAATTTGACGCCAGAGAAGTTGGGAGGATTAAGGAAGTAGATTTTATGTTTAGTCACTATGTGCAGAGTACATTAAGCCTTCGAGGGAAAAAAAAGATGCACAATATTTTATAAGCCCAACCCTTCTATTGACAGGCAAAGTTGCAAACAGTGTTGTCTAAAACAGAAGGGGAATCTGAAGAGAAGAGCATTAGCTTAGGTATTATGGCTGACAAAAAGTACATCTCAATGTTATCTGTTATATTCATCAGGTTTGGAGTTCAATGCCCAATAGTACAAAAAGAAAAGCTTTCTTAAAATTTAAGTTTTCTACAATAGGCTGCCTTCTGCAGTGAAAATTTCCAGTGTTCCCTTCTAAGAATGTTCTAACTGAAGTTGAGCATCACCCAGTCTTAAGACTGCTTGTGCTAAAATAATATGACCATGTTGGTTTCCCAGTGACTTTATTTGACTCAAGAATAAGAAAATTTTATAGCTATATGACTTCTTCACCCCTCCACATGGCAAAGTTGTGGGCTAAACTGAAGGTAGCAGATAACCCATAGATCAAAACCAGTGATTAAACTCAGGAAATTATGGGAGATGCAGCTGGGGAAGCCAGAGTAGTATTATAATAAGGACGTAGAATTGAATTGCTATGACTCTGGGTACCTTTTTCTCTGCTTTAACTAATGACACACTCTCAGTCACCCCTCTTATCCTACAGTAACTGTGAGATTTCTTTCTTATAGAGGGTAAACAGCTGTTTGGAGAAGGAAGCCATGATTGAAAGAAGTCTCTCTTAAACTATAAAACCTCATCAGCTCCCCTATAATGCTCATTAGGAGCATAGAGATTTTCCTCCACTCAAAAAAATTTTGCAAACAATATGGCAGCTACTAGCCCCATGCAGCTGTTCACCACCTGGAATGTAGTTGGTCTGAGGGTGAGACATGCTGTTAAGTGTAAAATATGCATTTTGTGTTGAGAATTTAATATGAACAAAAGAATGAAAACAAATCATTGATGTCATGTTGATTACATATTGAAATGATGGCATTTCAGATACATTAGATTAAATATATTGTTTAAATTAGTTTCACTGATGTTTAACGTTTTAAATGTGACTACCACAACGTTTAAAATTATGTATGTGGCTGGAATTTCTGGATCTAATTGTATTTCTATTGGACAGTCTGCAGTTAATTCTATTAGTGGAAATCCATCTCAGTCAAGAGTGAGGGAGGCAAATAAGACTGGATTCAGTGAGATTCGAGATTTGATAAGCAGAAAAGGGCCAAAGGGAGGCATCTTCAGTTTTCAGATGAACACAAGCAAAGGTAGATACAGTTAAGGCATTTGCATAGGGGCAAAGACTCACTGGTTTGACTGGAATCAGAGTTTGTGTTGAAGAATCCGGACATGAATGGAAAAGCTAGATGAAGGTGAGGTGGAAAGATGCATTCTGTGAAGACAAATGGAATCCTTTCAGAAATGGGGAGCCACCCAGAGTTTTGAAATAGTGTGGTTATGGGGAAGAAAAAGCAATGCTCTCAAAATCATTGTTGAGTGGGAATGCACATCTTTTGTTGTTGAAGGGTGGGGTCTGAAAGTTGAAAGACCTGTCTGGAGGTTTTGAAATAATTCTGCTACCCATCCAGGGGTACCTAGTAAGGCGAGATACAACAGCAAAGTCATGGGTCTGAACCTATAGCTGTGTTCTTGACTCATTCCAGGCTTTGTGGCCTCCATTGTCAAATAAAACAGCCATACCCCATCCCCACCCATTTAAAAGAGTAGCCACATGTGCAATAAAGCGCTTTAAGAAATACAAAGATTCTAATGTGTATTATGTGTAATGTTTTCACAGTAATGATTCTTGATAACTTCATAATATTGTATCTCTCTGTTTTAAATGATCACCAACACTAGTAAGTCAGAAAAGGACCTCTACTACCTTGAGTTAAAGTCTATCAAAATAGTTGTGAGGTTATTTTTTTTTTAACTAACAGGGAAAATGGAAGCTATATTTTAAATGAATATAATGGTGGAGATGGGAAAATAACATTTTAAAATGGAGATTTTCTTAAAATTTCAGCTGTTCAGTTTTCCAGATGAATTATTTAGGAAGGGATAGCATGAAGAACATCTGCTATTGTTTAAAAATATAATATGTATTAGTTTCTTATGCTTGTCTGATCCATTTCCCACACTACAAGATAAAAAAAAATTGCAGTTAAAAATGCTTATTTTTAGAGATTTGATCTTTTGAAAAAAAATTAGTCATCAAAGGAATCCATGGTTCAATGTTTTACAGTTCACAAAATCATTTTGTCCTATAATGTTCCTATAAACATTTAACAATGAACTGTCTAATTTCACGTTACTATATTATGTAGAACTTTACTCATGAAATTAATAGAGATATTTAAGACCCAAACATTTAAACAATTTTTAAATTGGTGATGATAGGGAAAATAAGGAAAAAAAGTAATTTAAATATCAAGTTGTATCTAGAACATGTTCTAAATATAGTAAAACTGTCTTCAACTATCTCTTTTATAGAACATCCCAAAAATAAATGTTGAGGAAAAAGGTTTTAGCCTAAATGGCCTATTTTAATGAAAGAAAATTCTTTGAGGTATCTTTTCATCCCTTGATCAATAAAACAATTGTTTCCACTGCTCATAGATGTATAAAGATCAATTTACTACTGACCTCTCCAAAAGTAAAGATTCATAAATTAGAATAATGTTGCAAAGGGATTTTACTCAGCCCTGCCTGACTTGGGCAGAAGTTGGGAAAGATGCAATTATTTCTCCCAATTAGCACTCCTACTTGCGTAATACCTGAAACTGGTTTTCATCTGGAACTAGGACACTCAATGTCCATGAGGTTTCTCATAGATTTTGCAGCCTTCGGCCTTTCCTTTCCAGTAAGGAGTCAATCTAGTAGCCTAAGGTGAGGGCTTGCTTTGCGAAGCTCATCACAAGGTAATTATCTGGGCAATTGGTTACTATCTATAATTACATGATGAATAATGGGATCTACTTTGTGCGCACATTTTTCTTACAGGACTGCTGTGCCGCTGCCAGGCTGTGTTGCACAACTCCAGTAGGTGTGTTCACACAGGCTATGTGTGAACAGTGCCTGCTGGAGCTGTGCAAGGAACAGCCTGAACGCTTGTACAGTGGAGCACTGTTTCTTCACCCAAGAAAGTGTTCTTGTGTGCCTTGATAGCAAATAACAATAAGAAGTCACTTCCCATTGATCAAAATGACTCTTCTACAACTTTTCCTTTTTCTTTTTCTTTTTTTCCCTTGGTTTGGTGACTGAAATGTTTAACATTTATTAAGCACTTACTATGGGCTAGGACAAAAATGCACTTCTTATGGGCTAGGACTAATGTGTATGCTTTATTCCTGTTAATTCTGTCCACAAAACATACCTATAAAGCAGGTAGAACTCTTATTCCTAGATAACAGATGAGGAAACAGAAGAATTAAGTAATATTCCCAAGTCACACAGTTGGTACATAGCTGGGTCTAGGATTCCAACTCAAGATCCAGTGTCCAGTTTTGTATTACCACGGGAGACTACATAGCATTCAAAAGGATCAGTTGATAGTATCCAAGGGCATTCATTTTTCTTAACATCCCTTTCATGATACAAAGTTTTACTTTCTAAATTAATTGAGTTTACAAATCAACTATTGGAAATTGAATTGTATGCAATCAAATAATTTCTAAGTGGTTAGGCCTCTATCATTTTATTCCATTAAGGAATTCATCTTGATGAATGCAAATTTTGTTTGAATGTTTTAGAAATCTTAAATTTAAAAATTCACTAAAACATTTCTGATTTATGATAGCTTGACTCTACAATGGTGAAAAATTTTCAACTCTTGCCAGGTGTGGGCAGAGCATACCTGCAATCCCAGCACTTTGACGGGTGGAAGCGGGAGAATCATGAGTTTGAGGCCAACCTGGACTATAAATGGAGACCCTGTCTCAAAACAAAAAAACTAACCAAAAGTAAATAAATAAACCTTCAGAACTTTACAACGAGAAAGCATGTCCATATAGTCGTATGCTTTTCACACGCAGTTCAATATCCAGTCGATTACATGAGATAGTCAACACTCTATTATGAAATAAGCTTTGCGCTAGATGACCTCCCCAACTGTAGGCTAATGGAACTGTTGTGAAAATGTTTAAACTATGCTGGGCTAAGTATGATGTTCGCTAAGCTAGGTATATTAATGAACATTCAACTTCCTACTTCCAACTTATAGTGAGGTTATCAGGACATACTCCATCATAAATGGAGAAGCATATATATTCAGGGAGAAATCAGGGAAGATACGCCACTCATTTCTTCTGAATTTCACATTCTGCTATTTGCTTATCAAACATATACTGAGTGATCTGACACATTCACAATCATTGTACCTCATCCATTATAAGAGTAAAACCTACATATGAAATATTTCCCCAAAAATTAATAAATACAAAATCATGTTTAAGACTTGAGTGATTTCTTTGAAACCATTCTAAACAATATTGTATTTCTAAATATCTAAAGAACATTGTAACTTTCAGCAATGTTTCTCACCAACAACACCTGTGATCCTAGAGGGGGAAAAAAACAACATGTTTTCACATTATTTTCTAAAATCAAGGGATATCTTAATGGTCTGACTTTAAAAGATAGGAAAGAGTAATGATTTAGAATAAACAAATTTCTTTAGGTGCTCTAATTTCTTTGGAAATACTTTTTAAAAACAAAAAACAACTGTCTAGGGTTAATTTCCCATAGTTTAGGCTTGTCTTTCCTCTGCTTCCAAGAAATTAGAAATTGCACCTTAACATCTATGAGAAGAGCCTTTCTCTGTGGGGCTAGTAGCAACATGATTCATATTTTCAGGATGACTCCGGTTTTCCTGTAAAGAGGAGCAGTCCTGGCCCATCCCTCCCCTCACATGCAGCTGAGTCTTTCTCCTTATGATCTGGGAAAGGAGTTATTCAATTCTCGCACCACTCTGGTGTTTCCTCCCAAGTAATCCATGGCATTGCCTAATAGAGAGCACCAGTGCTGTAAAATCATTTTGAGGCAGGTTCTAATGGCTCTTTTTCATGGACCACCTAAGCACACGCTCTTTGAAATCAGATCATCAGCTAAAATGTTGAAAATGGAAGTCTCCCAGAGTCCTATGTCTGACATAATTACTCCTTTGGTTCAGCCTTGGGCTGGCCTATGCACTAAAACCTCTGGAAACAAATGGTGTAATAAATCTTCATTGTCTGAAGAGCTACCACAGCCTTTGGTCAGGCATAAATCTAAACTGACTTGCATATAACCTTCCTCCCATTACTATCTGGGGATTTTTGTCCTTGTTTTTGTTTTTGTGTGTTTATGTCAACTTTTGTTAGAATCTGATATGGTGGGGATGAACACTACCCCTGGAATCAGGTTGCTGAGGTTCAAATCCTGGTTCTACCAGAACCATGTACTATGGCAAGTACCATGTTTATTATCTTATATCTCCATTTCCTCATCCAAAAAAATTAGGATTATAACAAGAGATCCTCCTGTAAGCAGCTGCTATGAATATTAAATGAGATAATAAATATGAAGCTCTGAATAAAAACTAATAAGTCACATAAGAAACATTAGCTACTATTATAACTCTTCTCCTTTTCTTCTGTTTAATTTCTGCAATAATTTTCCTACAACATTTACTTCAAAACACATAAGCAGCAGATCAGCAAATTGCTGTTAAGCATCTGATGAGGGAAAACAATAATAATATAAAAGCACCAATTTGGAAAGTTTTCCAGTCCTTGATTTAGCAGGGAAATGTTTTAATGCCCAAATAATAATAAGCAATAATAAACCATGGGCCAGGTGTGGTGTCACGTGCCTATAATCCCAGCTCCAAGAAGGCTGAGGCAGGAGGATCACGGCAAATTCAAGCCTGGAATACGTAGTGAGACCCTGACTCACAAAACCAAAAATAAATAAATAAATAAACATGGAAAGCCTCTACAGGTTAAATTGCATAATTTGGTATATGAGATGAACAAACTCAGTAAAGGAGTCATGAATAGAGGGAGTTTGGTGGAGTTGTTGGAACATGAAAGAATCTTAAAGGATGAGTAATACTAAGTGGAGAGAGAGGAAATAGGAATGTATTCCAAGTGAAAAGCAATATGGAAATGGTACAGATGAAGGTCCTGTAACGTCTTGAGAAACTGAAGTTCCCAGCCTGCCTGACTTAATTCTGCATTTAATTTTTTTCCTACCAGTAGTATGAAAATTAAGCTTAACATTTAAATGGAAATATAAGGAAGAGATGAAAAGATCCATGTCCCGCAGCGAGCAGAGTTGTGATTGGAATAGTCTATCTCCCCACATTTTATAAAAAGTCCCACTCTAAAGCAGAGCAGCTCCATTCTGACCTCTGCATTCTCATCCGACTCGAGAAAATGTCCTGTAATTGTGGCTAATCTGGGCTTGCCTTGGTTCAAGTCAGGTGGGTAGGCACTGGTTATTGACAACCACTTTCTATGACCACTTTCTGCAGTTTGTTGCAATGATCCTTGTTTCCCAAAGCAATGTTTTCCATGGCTTCAGGGAGCTGTTCATAAAAAAATCACATAACAAATGTCTGGTTGCTACAAACCGGCTGCAAGGCAGAGTTGTATAAAGTTCACTAGGTACTTCTTTATATCACTGAAATTCTATTGTCAGATTAAAAAACTGGAATAACTTGTTTATACTGAGAGCAATATTCCTTTTACTGGTAAGAATTTATACCCTGAATACTGCTCCAAACCTGACTCTTCAGAAATAGAAACAAGGGGCTGGGGATTTAGCTCAGTGGTTCCACCACCTGCCTCTCAAGTACTAGGTCCTGAGTTGGATCCCTGGGGGAAAAAAAAAAAAGGAATGTTCAAAGAAATAGAAACAAACTATAATATGAGCTAAAGAATATAAAAATCAGGATTACTAACTTTATGTAGTTACTTATTTAAAGAATGCACATGTAACTTCATTCTATTTAATTGTCTACAGGTGTTTGTATTGGTTCATGGAGAATTGCGGTTAGAGGTAAAGTATGAGAAAATTTTTTGTGATTAAAATAAAGATTTTTTTAAACTAAAATTGTATTTCAAAAACATAGTCAATGTTTAAAATTATTTGATAATTATAAAAATATATAAAGTTAAAATTCTAGCAACTAACCCATATTTAGGAAAAAAAAGTCATTGTAAAGTATTGTACTTTATCTCATGCATTATTTTTCTTTATCTAAAGAAATCACCAGGTGACAGCCTATATGTCTAGAACAGCTACATATTGTAAACTATATAATCCATGTATAAAATAGGATTGATAGCTAATAATAGGAGTCATATGGTTTTGTAAAAGTCTTCGTTATTTAAAGTTTGTTCCCTGACAAAGTGTCAGAGTAAATTGAACATCTAACAGTCTTAGCTATCTTAAAACTTAGCGAGTTCCTCAACATAGGTCTCCATAATCACTATTGAAGGCAAAAATTGCCACAATGTGCATTAAAAAACAGAACTCTTTTACATCAGACAAAAGAGCCACATGGAGAAGATGAGACAGCAGTTCACCCGGGCAAAAGAAGGTACAAACGAGAATGGATTAAATTTGCAACGCCCTGCAGAGAAAGAGAAGACAACTCCAAAAGAAACCCCATTGCCAAGGTAAGTCATACTGGCAGGCCAGTGTGGGTTTTTAGAATAAATGTATCATACCTAAATTAAAGTAATATGGTAATTCCAATTAGCAAAATGCAGATAGAGAAGTCCACAGAACAAATAAACTAGTATCTCTAACAAAAAGTAAAATAAGAACAAAAGTAAGAAAAGAAAAGGTGGAAGAGCTTTAATTCCTAGACTTAAAACATAAAATTAAGAGACATTGTTGACCAGTTTTATTGTATAAGCCTTCTTGGATCCAGATTTTAACAAAGTATTAGAAAAAATATAGAGAGGTAAAATAATAAGAGTTGGAAGTAAATGTTGAATTGGCCATGTATTAATAATTGTTGAAACTGGGTGACAAGATGTATCAGGTTTAATATGCTGTTCAAATTTTTTGTATATATTTGAAACCATCCCAGTAAAAGGGCTACAAAAATTTTTTTTTCTTTTCTTTTTCTTTTTTTTTTGGTGCTCAGGATTGAATTCAGGACCTTGTGCTTGTGAGGCAGGCATGGTGCCACTGAGCTAAATCCCTAGCCCTTCAAATTTTAATAATGAAAAGCAATTCATCTTATTACATATTTTGACCCCTTCTTCTGTTCCATTTTCCTTCTCCATTTCCTTTTCTTTAGACTTAAATCAACATCCATTTTTTTTTTAATGGCCAGCCAGGGAGTGAGAATTCAGAAGTAGCAATGTCAATATTAAGTGCCTTGTCTACAATTTTTCTGTGGTGCTTGGCATAGAATTCAGGGCTTGCATGTGGGAGACAAGTGCTGTATCACTGAGCCACACCCCAGTTCATCTCTCAACATTTCAACATCTCCACAATGGTCACAATCTGGATGAATAGTCTAAAGCCAAAATGATTAACATATATTGGTCAAAATTTGTCAACAAAAGCAACACTTTGACTTTATTTCATCTTCTACCATCTAATTAATCAAAAGGTAAAGACTATATATAGTGCGAGAAAGAGGGGATCAAGGGAACAAATGACTTTAGACTGTAGAGATGGAAGAGGATGGGAAAAGAAAAGGCCTGAGTGATGATCGCCTTAACATTTTGAATATTTTTGGTTACAGATTACTTCAGATTTCCAAAAAACCCAGAAAATTACCTATAGAATTTCTGGGGTGGGAATTGATCAGCCCCCTTTTGGAATCTTTATTGTTGACCCAAACACTGGTGAAATTAATATAACAGCCATCGTTGACCGAGAAGAAACCCCAAGCTTCCTGGTAAGTCCGTGTACTCAACATCAGGTTTCCCTTCCTCTTGTATCATATTCCATGGCTTTAGAAAGTGATTCTTTCACTGGTTAATGTGGAAGAGATCTGAGTGCCTGAATAGATCCACCAACAAATAAGAACGTGAGTCCTTCTACAAAGAACCTCCGCTGGAACTTTGATTAACTGAAGGGAAGGCGCATGGACGAGGGCCAAAATCCAGCACGCTGCTTGCCAAGAGCTTCCTCAGGCAGGAGGAAGGGGCAGCTTGCCCAATGGCAAGTGTGAGTGTCTTCTTCCAGTCTCTCCACCCTTTCCAGGAGGGTTTTTCTTATTTACACAAAAGTTCTGGACATGCCAGTAGAGGCCTTGTCTCTACTAATCTTAGTAATATGCACATTAACTTGGTGGAGTCATCGTTAACATTCCTTCTGTTCCTAGATCACCTGTCGAGCTCTAAATGCCCTAGGACACGAAGTAGAGAAACCGCTTATCCTAACGGTCAAAATTTTAGATGTTAATGATAATGCGCCAGTATTTTCGCAAAGTATAGTCAAGGGTGAAATTGAAGAAAACAGTGCTTCAAGTAAGTCTTGCAGTATCTACCACTTCCAGTTCATCTATTTTTCAATTACAAGTATCACTACTGTTTCATCATTTTTACGAGCTAACTTATTCTGTTAACTTCTTCAGTCATTTTGCAAAATCCAATTCATCAAAACATAATATGGTTCTTCCTTTCTAAAGTTTGTGGTTGAGCCAATAATCCACCACCATTGTATTTCTAGTCTTTTATGAGGTTGATAGTATCTTTCTTTATATCTGCAAGATACCTGAGCTACAGGTAGTCACAAAGCTGAAGAGGCAACTTTAGGTCACCTGGATGTGCAAGTTGGGGTGCTTCAGGTTTAAGGCCAGAGACATACATTACTTGGATCATTAGGAAAAAGGAAGAGAATCATCAGGCCATCCCACCAAGGGACGTCATAAAGAGAGAGAAATAAAATCGAGCCAAGGCTTCAGGAGAACTGGCAGACTTTTGTGAGAGGTGGCATAGTTCTGCCTGGTTGAGAGATACAGATATCACAATTAACAAGTAATTTTTTGTTCATAAAGGTAGCTTTAAGCTATTGAAAATCAATGTGAGATTGCAGTAAATATTTAATGTGAGCATAATGTTGATCTTTATGTATTCTTGAGTGAACATTTTCCTGTATTCCTAGATTCACTGGTGATGATACTAAATGCCACAGATGCAGATGAGCCAAACCATCTGAACTCTAAAATTGCCTACAAAATCGTCTCCCAGGAGCCCTCAGGAACACCCATGTTCCTCATAAGCAGAAACACTGGAGAAGTCCATACTTTATCCAATGCTCTTGATCGAGAGGTAAAGCAAGTCCCTGGGAGCATTCAAAAACCAAAGGGTTTTCACTGTAAGAAACTGAAGAGAGGCGATTCCCTTTCATCTAGAAATTAGAGAAAGAAAAAGAGGCTGCTAGATCTTCCCTGGGCCAATCTTGGCACATCGCTTACCTGCTTCAGTGTGATTCTGTGGGTGGGATATAGGCCCAGGACATGCAGCCCAGTGTCCCCAACACATGGCAGTGGACGTTAATGTGTGAGAGCAGCCGAAGGCATTGGCATACTGGACAAAGACTGCACTGTGACTAATTCCTCAGGTGACAAAGGAAAAGGAAAACTGTTTAGATGAAAGGAGAAATTCCTATCTGGAGTAAAGCCTTCTTTGATATCATACTTTTTGTAGAATATTTTTTATTGAGTTTATCAGTACATTTTAGGTATACCCTATGATCACCCTCATCATTGGGAATTTGTACCTTTACATGATATATCTTGATTCTTATTTTTTCCCATAAGCTTTGTTTCCATTTTTGCCTTCTTACCTTCAGTTTTTTTTTCTTTCCCTTCTTTCCTTTCCCCTGTTCCCCTCCCTACTTTCCTTCCCCCTTTGAACATTTTCTTCCTATTTCACAATATCTATTATACATTTGGTCCTCATTTACACCTTCAGTTTCTCACACTAGAGAAACAATGCAATATTTACACGTGTGTCCTACTCATTTGACTGAAGAGAGTGTGGCCTCAAGGTGCAAACATTTACCTATAAATGTCTCAAATTTATCTTTCTTTATGGCTGAGTAGTACTCCATTTTATTTTTTAAAAACACGCACATCATATTTATCCTGATGTCATACTTTTTAATCTAGATTTTTCCTTTTAATTTCACCCCTGCTTCCAGAACACCAGAAAATCCTGTTTCTCTTTTGTCCCCATCACTTCACCACCATCCATCTCTACCAAGACTATAACTCATCAAACTCCACATTACTTTTGTACAAACAATGTTACCAGTAGACTAGCAGGGATGCTACACAAATCAGCTTCCCTCAGACAATCATCCCACCATACTCATTGCCCATTGCTGCTCTAAGTGTACAGCCTCTCCATCAGATACTTACAAAAGAGAAAACATGTTGTAGCCTCTTCAGAATTTCCACCCAATCATTTAGAACCACACAAACCTCTTCCCTCGTGGACAACTAACAGTACATGTAAACATGAGCCATGAATTTGCATATTTACACTGCATTACCCATAGAAAGCAGGGAGGGCCACAATGAAAAGGACAGCACTCTGAAAAAAGAGACCAAAGAGTACATAAGAAAATGGAAAGATATCCCCTGCTCCTAGGTAGAAAGAATCAACATAGTGAAAATGGCCACACTACCAAAACTGCTATACAGATTCAATGCAATGCCAATTGAAATTTCAACAGTATATTTCACAGAACTAGAAAAAATAGTCCAAAAATTCATTTGAACCAGAAGAAACCTAGAATAGTAAAAGCCATTCTAGGCAACAGAAACATGATAGGGGGTATCACAATCCCCAATTTAAAACTATACTACAAAGCCACTGTGATAAAAGCAGCATGGTACTGGCAAAGAAAAGGACCTGAGGATTGGTGGAACAGATTGAAAGATACAGAAACAACTCTAGATGTATTCAGCTACCTCATCTTTGACAAAGGAGCCAACCATCCTCAGTGGAGGAAAGATAGCCTCTTTAAAAAATTGTGTTGGAAAAACTGGATTTCAACCTGCCAGAGATGAAAACTAGATCCTTATCTTTCACCATGCACTAAACTAAAATCCTAATGGATTAAAGATTTAAATATTAAAACAGAAACACTAAACTTGTTAGAAGGTAAGTTAGGCAGAACTCTAGAAGACATTGGCATAGGAAAGACTTTATGAACAAATCCTCAGTAGCACAGGAGCCAGCACAAAGAATCAACAACTGGGATCTCATCTTCTTAAAAAGTTTCTGCACTGCAAAAGAAACCACCAACAGAGCTAAGAGACAACCTATAATGTGGGAAAAAATTTTTACCAGCTGCTCCTCAGACAAAGAACTATTATCTAGAATATATTAATAACTCAAAAAATCAGGCCCCCCAAATATAAAAACCCAATAAAAAATGGGCATCTGAAATGAACAGACATGTCTCAGACAAATAAGTAAAAGCAGCACATAAATATATGAAAAAATGTTCAACATCACTGGTCATTTGAGAGATGCAGATGAATACAACACCGAGATTCCACCTCACCCCACAAAGAATGGCTGCTATCAAGAAATCAACCAATAACTAATGTTGGTGGGGTTGTGGGGAGAAAGGAACCCTTCTCCATTTTTGGTGGGAGTGCAGACTGGTGCAACCACTGTGGAAATCAATATGAAGATACCTCAAAGAACTAGGACTAGAGGTTCCATTTGACCCAGCTATCCCTCTGCTGGTATCTTTCCAAAAGAATTAAAAGAATCATACCACAGTGACATATGCTCACTCATGTTTATAGCAGCACCATTTGTAATAACTAAAACCTGGTAAATACCCCATTTGCCCATCAGTTGGAGACTGAATGAAGATGTAGTTTTTCTATAAAATGGAATACTACTCAGCCATAAAGAATGAGAAAGTAGAGTCATTTATTGGAAAATGGATGCATATTGAGGCCATACTCTTAAGTGAAATAAAAAGGACACACATGTAAATGCCAAATAGTTTCTCGTGTGAAAAACTAAAAGTTTAAGATCCAAGTTTTATAACTACTAATGTGAAAAAGGAAGAAAATAGCTAAAGGTATAGGGGAAGTGGGAAGGGTAGGAGAAAGGAAATAAGGGAAAAGAAAAAATATGAGAAAAGGAAAAAATGAAAACAAAGTCTTTGTAAATAGGGGAGGGTGGAGAGGGTGAAGGGAGGGCAGGGGTATGGGGAAAAAATGAGAAACAAGATCCATCATGTAAAGGTAGAGATCCCAATGATGAATGGAACTGTACTATATAACTTAAAAAGTAACAATAAACTCAATGAAAAAAAAAAGAAGGCAGGGAGGGTCCACTCATGTCCTTAGAAGATTAATGATTTTTTTTTTCTCCCAATCTAGCAATTTAGCAGCTATCGTCTGGTTGTGAGTGGTGCAGACCAGGATGGAGCAGGACTGTCAACTCAATGTGAATGCGATATTAAAGTGAAAGATGTCAACGACAATTTCCCAGTTCTTAAACATCCTCAGGTACACTCACTGTTCCTTGAAAGTGCACATGCACACACACACACACACACACACACACACACACGTAGCCATCTAAATTCAGCTTTTGCCTGCTTATTGGCTTTCATGATTTCTGAACTCTTCTTTAAAAGTAAGCTTTTTTAAAATATAAGAAGTCAGAGGTCAAGTACATTAACACACACACCTGTAGTCCCAAGTCTCATTCAGGAGGTTGAGGGAGGAGAACTGTGAGTTTGACGCTAGCCTGGACTGCATAGCGAGTTGAAGGCCAATTGGAACCTCATAATGGGCAGCACAGTGTCCCGAAAGCAAAGAAGGGGAGGAAGAGAGTGAGAGAGGGAGGGAGGGAGAGATAGAGAGAGAGGGAGAGAAAGAAAGAAAGAAAGAAAGAAAGAAAGAAAGAAAGAAAGAAAGAAAAAAAGAAAGAAAAGAAAAGAAAAGAAAAGAAAGATGAAACTAAGAAAGAAAGAAAGAAAGAAAGAAAGAAAGAAAGAAAGAAAGAAAAGAAAAGAAAAGAAAGATGAAAAGAGAGTGGAAAAGGCAAGAAAAGAAACTCGGGAACCCATAAGCAGACAATACATAATTTGAGATGTAATGATGATACCGTGTAAAACAAATATAATCTTTTTAGGTAAAACCTTGCATTGAATCTTAAATTTGGCTTTTCTCCTCTTTAGTATTCAGCACGTATTGAGGAAAATACTGTAAACTCGGACTTACTTCGATTTCAAGTGACAGATTGGGATGAAGAGTACACAGATAATTGGCTGGCTGTGTATTTCTTCACCTCAGGAAATGAAGGGAAGTGGTTTGAAATAGAGACTGACCCAAGGACCAATGAAGGCATCCTGAAGGTGATTAAGGTAAGGTTTGAGTTTCCTTCTTAAAAACAGACTATATCAACCCAAACTATCATTTCTACAAAAAAATTATCAATAATAATAATAATACCACTTCATCCTATAAACATATAAAAGTACCTAGAAATTTAAAAATTATCCCAGAACCCTTTTACCTAAAGACCTCTCTTAACAAGTTGGTTTATTCCTTCCTAAGCTAACACACTTTCAGTAGTCAACACACACATACTGACACATGGGTGTGTATGCTTTCATCCCAAGAAGGCAAAATACATTTCCTGACCTAATCAAATTCACTGTCTGCATTTAGATTGGAGGTAGGAAAAGAGGCAAATACATGGAATTATAGCTCGTGAGCTTGTAAAACTGTTTTAGACGAGTTAGCCACAATCATCAGAGGAAAAAAACACAACTTTCCTAGAAAGCGGTAATGTATGAACAAAATCTACAAGATTAAAAAATAAAGCTTTCATTTAGCATATTTCACTATGACAGGCTCCCTATCTAAAATAATGCATAGATATTTCTGGCAGGATATGGTATAGACGAGAAGGAATAACAATTATCTGGTGACATTTTTTGACATGGGACTTAGGGCCATGTGGGAACATCTTTCTTTAACCATTTAAGTGCAGTGGGATGACAGACCCATAATATTCCCTTGTCAAGGGTGCTGCTGGAAGCTGTGCAGTTTCTTTTTGTTCTACTTTTCAGAGAGATTAACACCATCTCTACTTGCAAGGGTTTTGCTCTAAACTCCCATGAGACAGTCCCTAGCTCATGTATAGGGACCATTCAGGGTCCCAAAGTAGGACCTTGGATGTTCTCTTTCGCTTGTGCTGTTTCCTCCCAACACACAGCCAGCCACCAAGTTCCGCCTGAAAGATACCTGTAAATCATCACCCTCGTCTACCTTCTAACCATCTGTCTTCTAGTCCAGCCTTACTTCCTCTGTCCTAGACAACTACAGCACCTCTGAACAGATGTCCTACCTCTCTTCTCTACTTGACTTTGTTCTCCACACTGCCACCAGTCCACCACATTTTTTTTTCTTCCAAGAAACAATTCATACTACTTACTCGTCTCTTTAGAACCTTCCCTGGCTGGAAAAGTGTCCCTCAACCCTATGTAGGCCAACTTTTCCTACACACCAAGAATGTAGGAACGAGTGACTCGTGGGACTATGGGTAACTCACTGCCCAGGCAACAGAGGGTCATAAAGTCCCCAGTAGTGACTCTAACCTGTAGCCAACTGCTGCCCTTCATCGTCAGCAGCCAGCACATTTCCTCTCACCTACTGCAAGGCTGGGCATTTGCGAGTGCTTTCACTTCTGCTTGGATAACTCTCAGCCTCCTGTAATGCCCTCCTCAGATCTAAACTTTCCAGAAGCCGTCAGACTCTCCCAAGTGGGAGTAATCCCTCGCTCTCACACACAGGCTCTATAATCCCATCCTCTCTTACCTGTCATATTATAATAAGCAGTTCACATATCATTCTCTTCCCCTAGGAAATGCTGAGCTCACAAAGCCAGTCATTGCAAAGTTAAAACTCAAATCCACATCCCTTGCCTCAATTTTATTTTTAGTGATAAACAAATGTAACCAAAATTTGCATTTCCTTATCCTCAGAAAAAGAAAAGACTACTGAATGAGAAAGGTTGTTCTGGGATTTCTCAGGCCTTGTTCTGGGTCACTTTATTAAGAGGGTCAAATATGTTTACCATGTGAGGCCACCTGAAAACGGTTCTATGAGGAGTTGGTGAGACACCCACTCATTGATGGGCAGTGACTTTGGTGACAACCCAGGTGGATAAGACAGTTTCCCTTAACACCCAGGAATCTGTAAGTCAGGAAAGACATTGCACATGAATCCTGTGACTATTCTGTGACTGGCCACAGCTGTCATTTATAGAAATGTTTTGTGGGCCTTACTTTGTTTCATCCCCACAAAAATAGCTTGTTTTTAAAAGTGAAAAATTGAGAATCAGAGAAATTGAACTTCATGCCCTAAGCCACAAATCTCTTAAAAAGTAACAAAACCAAGATTCAAAGCACATTACCACGACAAATTTGGGATTCTTTCCACAGCCCTTCACATCCTAAAGAGACTGGAATGATGTTTTTTTACTCTGCTTTGTAAATATTAGTTACCAAAATGAGTTCTCAGGAGTTAGGAAGCCCACTGCTGTCTGTATCTCAGCATGACAGTGATTTCTGAAATTGTTTTGCTCTATGGAAATAAAAGGGCCCATTCACTGCATCTTGTGTAGAGCCTTCTGCCCAGACTTTTTTGTGACACTTCCTTTCTTTTGATTTTCACCCCAGCCTCTGGATTATGAACAGATACAAAACATGCAATTTAGTATTGCTGTCAAAAATAAAGCTGAATTTCACCGGTCAGTAGTCTCTCAATATCAAGTTCAGCCAACCCCAGTTATAATTCAGGTAATAAATGTAAAAGAAGGAATTTCATTCCGCCCTGCTTCCAAGACTTTTACTGTGAAAAAAGGCATTAGCAGTAAAAAACTGATTAATTATATCGTGGGAACATATCAAGCCATCGATGAAGACACTAACACGGCTTCCTCATCTGTCAGGTATGACTTTTTATGACATCTCATCATTCCTTGGCTCAGTTGCCATCTATAACTTATTACAATACAATGTATAGGCAATTATATGACAACAACAGAAAAATAAAGGACATAAATATAAGGAAATGAATAACTCAACATGAGACATGCAGATAAATCATTACAGTGTGTTATGCTATGAGGAAAGTTAACATAAGCATAAATTAAAGTGGAAACTAAGAAAAATGCCTTAGGTTGTCTAGCAAGATCAAAACATTTTATAGAGACCTCCAGCTGAGTCTTACAAAAATTAGAAATTTGTCAGAAGACTATGTTGCCGCCAGATAAAATATTATCACACATGAATCCAAGAAACATAGAGGATAGATAGATGATAGATAGAAAGGAACTAAAATATAAGAACACCATGCAAAGTAGTAGCTGTATAATAAAAAACAAGGACATAAGCATTTTACTTTTTTGCCAGAGGAAAATTGACTAGCCAGGATAATATATATTTAAAGATTATCAAATGGCTCATCCATTTCATACTTTCTAACATCTTTTATAAGCTCTTATTTCAAGGTTTTTTAATGTATTAACTATGAAATGAGTCATTTTCATTAAGTAGGCAACATTCCATATTTGAAAGAAAACTATCATTTTTTTCTGTTATACAACAGATACGTCATGGGTCGTAATGATGGCAATTTGCTGACTATTGATTCAAAGACTGCTCAAATCAAATTCGTCAAAAACATCGCCCGGGATTCTACTTTCATAGTTAACAAGACAATCACAGCTGAGGTTCTGGCCATAGATGGTAAGAAAACTATTTCAATGGCTTTTAAAAGAGAAATGTGATTCCGTTTAGCATTCTTCAGAAAGGATTATGATTATCTCACATATTTCCTTTGTCTCTAAATATTATTATCTTAGAGGATTCTGGCCTCAAATCTGAGGCCACGGAACCTATGAGAATTCTAATTTCTCAGTGGAGTTTGTAGTACCAGTGAATTCTCTTTGTCCCTAATGTTTATTGTGACCGAGGGAAGATTTTTTTATCTTCAGAAATGCCTGGATTTGAGAGGATCAATATAGATTCCTGTTTAACCCTATATATTAGCACACAGTTTTAATCCCAGCACTATGGAAGGCTGACGCAGGAAGATCACAAGTTCAAGTCCTATCTGGATAACTTAGCAAGACCTTGTCTCAAAATTTTTTTAAAAATAGGAGCTCAGTAGCAGAGAAAGCCTTTATGAGTGACCTATAAAGAACTTCTGTACTTATATCTCAAAAAATAAAACTTCCTGGGCCGGGGATTTAGCTCAGTGGTTCGGTGGTCTGCCTCACAAGCGCAAGGACCCGAGTTCCATCCCTGGTACCAAAAATAAATAAATAAATAAATAAATAAAACTTCCTTATCCAGATTGTTTTTTTCAGAATGTTTTAAAGTGCAATTTATTGAGTATGTTTCCCCAAGGATAAAATTAATTTATGTTCAACGCAATAAACAAACTAAACTAAAGAAGAGTCAAAACTATAAACCAAAAATTACAGAAAGGGAAAAATACAGAAAGCCCTAATGGTAACAAAGAAATGACTCATCACCAACAAGAAATTTTTATTTTATTGTTTTTGATTGTCAACATTTTAAATTTTTCTCAAACTTTTATATTTTAGGTAATAAAAGTAAATTTAAAAATTGATTATCCCAAAATCTTTAGAAACACAAAAAATCTTCAGAAACAAAAAAAGTTTGCGTATGGATTGCAAATGAAATTAATTGTTTAAAAAAACATTATGAGTTTGTGCAGATTTCATTTATAACCACTGAATTTCTCACAAGTCTTGATTTCAAGCATATTAAATTAGGAGATAGTCCTAATAATAAAAAAATTATCTTGAAAAGACACTAACTTGGCTGCAAGAAAGAGAAATTTAGAAGATTCTTGTTGTTGTTGTTGTTGTTAGGCTTTATTCCATATACTTTTTGAACTCTAAAATATTATTCTTACAGAAATCACGGGTAAAACTGCCACTGGCACCGTACATGTTGAAGTGCCTGGATTTAATGACAATTGTCCACCAGTTTTGCTGGAAAAAGATGAAATCTGTAGTTCGTCACCTTCCGTGACTGTGTCAGCGAGAACCCTGGAAAGAGACAGATACATGGGTCCCTACAGGTTTTCAGTGGAGGAGCAACCTTTAAAGTTGCCAGTTGTGTGGAGAATCACAAGCCTTAATGGTGAGTAAGGGAGAAGTGGCTTCCATACATGCAAGTTGCCACTTTTTTATATTTCCAGAAGAATAAGAACTCATTTGAGAGTCCTGTCCAAGAATAATTGAAACAATTCTTTGCAATAAAGATGCGATCCTGGACTTGTGAATTCCTTTAGAAAAGGAATGACAAGATATGATGCTGGTACCACATAATATTTTCTGCTTTTCATTCAATAATTTTTTTGTATTTTTAGTATATTTATTTCTACCTCCTTAGTAGAAAAAAAAAAGATTCAAGTGAGGCACTATTTTATCACAGAGCTGTCTAGATTTCTAGGTACACAAGGTTCTCCTCACAGGGCAGGCTGTGAGCGAACACTAAGCCCTGGAGAAGTAGGGCTGTTCGGGAGTCGTAGGTGAGGACACCTGTCTGTCATTAGTGAGGAACCTTGACAGCAGGGTGGACCACTAGCCAACAGGAGAAATCTAATCCTTTCCCCTAACCTTTATCATGCTCATTTTATATCTTCTATGGTTTCTAGAAGTCTCAGAGAAATTGAAATAGAACTCAGTAAGTCTTCTCCCTTCCTGGATTTTTTAGTGACCATTGACTAGTGACTTCAAACCCTTTGAAAAATTATTCATTTCCCTAGCTCTTTTCTGCACTCCTCTTGCTTCCTCTCACGGATGTGCTCCATGGAGCCCTCCAATCATAGGTATTAGCCATTGTCAGACTCACCAAAGAGACTGTGTCCCCTTGGGCCTCCTGTCCTTGGTCCTTTCTGATCCTAGTTAAGGGTTGAGCTCCATATTGTATACACAGTGTTTGTCTCCAAAGGAATTTACCAGATGCACAGCCATTGAAGAGGCTGCTAAACAAAGAGCAAAGAGGGCAGGCTTGGAATTCACCCCGGTGAGCCTGGGCAAACCACAGAGGTTGGACTGGGGGGAACAAGGTAGTGTCAAGGGGCATAAGGGGGTCATGAATGATTCAAACAACACAACACTGGGCAGGATCCAGCTTAGAAAGGGCAACAGCGATGGAGAAGAAGGAACAATTGATGCTGAGGAGTCAGAAGGGCAACAGTCCATACCACTGGGAATTGCACCCAATGGTCTCTCAGCTCATGGAAGGAGAGCCCAGAGGAGCCGCCGAGGTAGCTGCAGCCACAGTTGGAACTCAGTCTGTGAAGTCAGACTCAAGAGCATGGAGTTCAGGGGAAGATGTACACTCAGAGGGGCACATGCTTCTGAAAGCTGGGGCAGTCATCCCGGAGAGAGATAAAGTCTGGGACGGGGGTCCTGGAATTTCCATGATCTCCACCTGCCATCCTTTTGGTGAGACCTGGAACCTCTGGACAAAGAATGTTGGGTTTGTCTGTGTCATAGACACGAAGGAGGGCACAGAAAGACTGATCCAAGTGAACCTCTTCCAGTCCTCCTCACTCCTCAGGCCGTACCAGTCCAGCTGTTTGTGACCGAGCTTTGTTATAAAAAAGAATTCGTTTTAGGACCAAAGACTCCTTGTCCTTGTGTTGATTTGCATGATTCTTCTCTGCAGCTACCTCGGCACTGGTAAAAGCCCAGCAGCAGTTATCCCCTGGAGTGTACAGAGTCCCCCTCACAGTCACTGGCAACGAGGAGCAGAAGTGCGAGTCTTCAGAGACCTTGACACTGACGGTCTGTCAGTGTGACGACAGGGGCTCCTGTAGAGCTTCAAACACTGATCCCCACATCCAGCCCCAGAGGCAGCTGTCAAGGCTGGGGCCCAATGCCATCGGCCTGATCCTTCTCGGGCTCTTGCTGCTGCTGTGTGAGTATGCCAACCCATCACCTCTGTCCAGGGCATGGTGTCATCCACAGTGGCTTTTACACTGTCCATGCTCATCTGTGCAATGTGGGGAGAGCCACTCTGATCATTCTGTAGACAGGGCTGGGGGCAATGGCATTTTTCAGAAAGAATCTGCAATGTTGGACTTATTTATCACTTGCTAATAATCTAAATTAATATATGCAGATATTTAGCACAGCACGTGAGAATCAAGAGGGAGAAAAATAAATCATGAAGACACATCGCATACTACCAGTAATGCTCATGGTGAAAATTATGGTTTTATCCACTAGTATGACACTTTCATTTCAATTTTTCAGTGCTAGGGATCAAGCCCAGGGCCTTGCACCTGCTAGGCAAGTGTTCTACCACTGAGCCACATTCTCAGTCCATGTGTGGTACTCAGATGTTTTCTCCAGATTTCAGTCTTATGAGAGCCTAAAATAAAGAGAGCCATGGTCAAATAAACTAGATGATATTGTAGGCTTTTAGCTTTGATACCTTAATAGACCATAGGCTCCTAGAAATTATTTTAGACACCAGCATTTTCTCAAAAAAGAGCCTACTACCTGAACACATGTTCCTTTTAAAATTTTATACTTAACAAGATTTCTTACTGAACACACTTAGGAAAACTACACACATGTACCATTTTTCAATAGAATTTATTTCATAAAATAGGCAAGTTTCTGGAAAATTACATTTGAATCAAAATCCTATGCATTAAATAGTATATCAAATATAAGAGGCCTCTATTTTTTTAAAAGTGACATTCTTATATAAACAGAAATCCTTGACAAATTCACAATTACTTCCCCATATTATGGAAACATAGACTTTTAAGGTTAAAACAAATTTTCATAATGATATTCTATTACAGCTCCTTTAAATTTCTTTTAAATTTATGAAATACTTAAAAACCATCAAAAAGTACAGAAAATTTCATTACAAGCATATGCATAACCATCTCACAGACTTAACAAACATTAATGTTTTGCCATATTTGCTCAGGTTGCTTTTTCTAAAAAGGAGAAATAAATTGTTATAGCTACAACTAGTGACTTCCCACACACATGCCATATTCCTGTCTTTAGAACTTGTTCGAGAGTTAACATACACACACCATAGGGTCTGTACTTTAAGCTGTGAAAAAGGAGAATTGATAAACGTATTTGAATAAAACACTACCGTGATCTATGAGTATAAAAAATTTTCATATCTTAGAAAGATAATCTGGCAGCAGCATGGGCCATAAACTACAAAGGGAAGAAAACTTGGGAGGTTATTGTAATAGTTCAGGAGAGATGGTAGAGACCCTGTTTAGAGCTACACCTTGAGATGAGAAAGAAAACAGTAAGAGTGTAGAACATCACCACAGCACTTCAACAAGATTGGGGACTGTGTGTTCTCATCTGAACACGACCCCCCAGCCCACATGATGAAACCTAGTTGCAACTGCAGTGTTATCAAAGAGAAGTGCTGTTGGGAGGTGATTCAATCCTGAGGCACACACTGTGAGTAGAAAGTGCCCTTATAATGATGACTGAGGGTGTCTCGTGCCCCCTTTTGTCAATGTTAGGGCACAGAAAAGATGCCACATATGAGGAATGGCCCTCACCTGAGCAGGCACCAAATAGGATGGCATTTTGGTTTCTAAAGCTGTAAGCAATGCATTTGTGTTATGTATAAATTGTCCATATTAAGGTATTTTTTTATAGTGTTGTGAAAGGAATTGGCAAGTGATATGCACATAGAGACGACCTGAATGGAAGTAAAATAAAATGTTTATTTTGCCAGCAAAGGGTCGATCGCATTTTAAAAAGGCAGAGCCAGTGATCGACCTCCTATTGGGTTGCAGTTTCCTCTTTTATGGGTTTTATAGCTATGATGTCATTAAGTGAATACATTTTGTTTTCTTAGTTTACATTACCCATGTACAAATTACAGTAACCAGACAGTTAACTTTAACCCAGATGTAACAATTTCTTGTAGTTAGGGAGTTTACTTCATGATTCCACTAGCTATCTATTCTAGTGCACAGGAAGGGGGTGTTCAAGGTTAGGGATGAAGCCAGATGTCTCATTTCATGGTCAATGCCTCCAGGGTCTGTTAATTTTGAACTAAACAAAGCAGATTGCTGTTAAAGACAGCAAAAGTCATTTCACATATTTTTTTAACATTTTGTAGGTTTTTAGATTGTTTATAAAAGTTTTCTCAATTAATAGGAGCTTGAATAGACTAAGATAGTCACAAGTAGGACTATTGGATAAACCCAGTTACACCCAGGAGTCATGTTTGACAGTCAGTGAGGCACCGATATATAAGGTGGCAGTAATGAGTTTGATTTTGAAATGTTTAATTGTGAAGCATATGATTGTCCTGTAGACCACTGCACGTAAGGGAATATGTCTCCAAATGGCAGTCAGAGGAAATATACTGTGTGATTCCACAATAACACTTGCTTCATGTGATCCTATCATTTGGCAGAATGCCATGTTTTGAATTTTGTGAATAACACAGTGTATTTTTCAGACTAAAAGTACACTCAACACTTTGAAAAAGTTTCTGATATATATATCAGATATATATACATTAGCTATATATATCAAATACCTATATGCTTCTTACATGTAATAATAAATAGGATTTCTGTCCTTGACTCTGTTAATATAGTGTATTACATTTATTGACTTACGTATGGTGAACCATCCTTGCATCCCTGGAATAAATCCGACTTGGTCAGGATGTGTGATCTTCTTGACGATCCTCTGTATTCAATAAATAGGATTTCTGAAAATTATACCTGTCTAAAAATACTGATCACCCAGGCTTGCATTCATCACCCTTGCAAGTAATCTTTCCCACACATTTAATAAAATCACAGAATTGAACATGGCAATAAAGTGTCATGTAGTAGAGCATTAGTTTAATTTTGAGATTTCGCATTCACTGCGTCAAATGTTTGGTGCGCTTGGTCTAATCTTCTTCATACCACATACAGGACTGACCTGGTTTACATAACTAACACTGCTCACCCTAACAATACTAGCAAATCTCCATAGTGTTCAATGCTGTATTTTACCTGACAGTTCATCTATTGATACTATGATAACCTATGAAGACATGATTTATTTCTCCGAACAATGGATGAGTTAACTGAACAAAGAGTGATTATATAACATGCTCAGTGTTGTGTGCAGAAATTAATTTTATTTTACATTAGGAATTTCCTTTAAGTATTTTAAGTGTTCTTTGTAACGTCTCTGACCTTTGGCATGTCAAATAATTTCCAGATAATGAAAATGTGCTAATATTTCGCCTTGTTCTTCTGCTAGTGGTCCCTCTCCTACTGCTAACCTGTGACTGTCAAAGGGGTCCCACTGGGGGAGTGGCAGGTGGTTTTATCCCAGTCCCTGATGGTTCAGAAGGAACGATTCATCAGTGGGGAATCGAAGGAGCCCAACCTGAGGACAAGGTGAGGATTCAGTTTGTGGAAGATTATTACAATCATATACAGAAAAATGTTTATTTAGATGGAGGCAGGAGGGATTTAAGGGAATAAAAGAAGACTTACTGACCTTTAGTGGAGAGTCAGTGCTGCAGTGCTGTAGTGGAGGTAACCTTTTAAGGTTTTTAACTCTTCCTAGATCGAGTCCCAAGAACAGCGACTCTTGCAAGAATCTGGATTTATTGTAATGTTATCACTTGCAAATGGGCCACAGTTCATCTACATCACTCTGAAATCTCATTCACTTTTTAAGTATTGTTATTTTTTTAATATGATTGCAGGAAATCACAAATATTTGTGTGCCACCTATAACAACTAATGGAGTAGATATTGTGGAGAGTTCTGGTGAGTGAACACCAAATTTATTTTTAAAAGCAATAGTGGGTTGGGGAGAAATATGTTTTAAAAGTCTTCAAAATTATTTTCTTGAGAATTTCCATATGTGTGTATAACAGGAGCTATTAATATTGAAATATGGGGAAAGCTGGTTTAATATTTGTGTATTGGTCAATTCCACATTCACTGATGCCACCATATTAAACAGCTAAAGATTTTTTATGCTTTTTCCAGTTTTTATGTGTGTGTATGTGTGTGTGTAGTACCAGGGATCGAACTCGGGCCCTTGTGCATGCAAGGCAGGCAGAGGAACCACTGAAACAAATCCCCGACACTTTTTCCAAATTTTAATAAACTGAAGTATAACTTTCAGGCATTTAATTGCTAATTTTTAATTAAGAAATACTTCATATGCATAGAAAATAAGAGGAAAATGTTACAGACACTACACATCTACCACCCAACTCGGCCTGTTTGTAACAAGGGCTCCATTTGCAGTTAAAGTCTCACATGTACACATTCCTGGTCCTCTCCCACTTTCTCCTTCCCCCGGAATAATAGTATTCTGATTTGAGTTCGATTACTAATTCTCATACTTAATTATTATAGGACATGATGACTTAGACTTATAAGTGAATTTGTTTCTTTGGTTTTTCCAAGTGACTGCTTTATTCAAATTATCCCAGTGCCACGGCTACCATGTAAACTAGAGGAACAATAAGACCTCACGCCTAATAGTAAAATATTTTCCTAATTTTATGCTTATCAATAGATTCTCAAGTGGCCAGCCTTCAAAATCCACACATTTCCTCCAATTGTGTAGCTAGCTACCTTTATCAGCTTCTGTTATCATCACTTGCTTCTCCTATTATAATTACATAGCAAAAACTATATTCAGAATTGTCTAGAGAAAATACTTCATGAAAACACCATGTAAAGATAACTGATAGAATAGTCACAATTCATTAATTTTCTTTATGCATCAAGACACACAATTAGCATCTACTGATTTGCATGATTGCATCATGTAGGTTTCTTCTGGCTTCTTTTTTTTTTTCTTTCTTTCTTTTTAGACAGGGTCTCACTGTGTACTCCAGGCTGACCTTGAACTCACAGCAATGCTCCTGCCTCAGTCTTCCCATACTGGGATTCCAGGCATGCGCCACCATTTCTTCTTCTAGTTTCTATACTGAAGCCCAAATGCTTAAATATAATTTATTTTCTCATGAAAATAAATAAGCCCTGCCCTAGAAGCTTTGCATGGATGTGTACTCAACATTCTGTTTTCACTTTTCTATTTCTGGCTAGTGTCACTGAAAATTAATTTCCTCTGTACACCTTTTTCATTAGTATGTTTTCAGAGCTTTAGTCACCTGCTAACAGCCCCTCCTCTGTTACTCTCCCATAACACACTGTCACCTCTAATCACATAATCGTATTTTTCCCCACATGCTTGTTTTACATGTTAACTGCTTATGCACATCAAAGATGGGAGAGGTACAATAAAGTGCAGCATGAGATGTTAGGGAATTTTCTCTCCTATTTTCAGAAGTTTGTACAAATACATATACCGGAGGGACAGTGGTGGACGGTGTTTCCGGAATGGAACTGACCAAGGTTGGAGCAGCTGCCTCAGGATTTGGATCAGCAGCTGGCCATCTGGGACTTGAAACTATGAGGACAAGGCATTCAACCGGGGGAACCCTGAAGGACTATGCAGAGGGGGCCATAAACATAAATTTCCTTGATTCCTACTTTTCTCAGGTGAGTAAGTGGCAAATTCTGTGGGTTTGTTATCTTGTTTACATTAGAGATCTTTTTATTTGATTACATCAGTTTTGTGGTTTATTTTTCATGGCTTATTAAAATGTGAAAAAAACAGGTTTCCTTTGCCAAAATAATAGAGATAACTTCAGGTGGCTGTCAAATTTGGGTGACTGTTCAAGCAGAATGGGGAATTAGCCCCAAAGGAAGAAAGTATAATAGGAGGCTGGCCCCTCATTCTTCCAACTTGGAAAATAACTGAAAGCAAAATCTTTTGTATTTTGAAATCAGCAGCAGCCTTTTTAAGAATCAAAGCAATTATTTTTTATTTCCTAAACCATAAAGCATGTCAGAACCCATGTTCCTGTATTTTCCTAAGAGATATTCTTTGCATTTTCAAAGAATTCCATAACAAAAAAATAAAATCAAAAATCACTGAGTTAATGGCCCCCAAATAAAGGGAAAAGTGGGGATGGAATGGATCAGTGATGAGTGGGATGAAATTTCAGAAAACAGAACAGAAAAGGGATGAGGGTACCAAATCAGAGAAGACTTTGGGAGGTGGGTTGTTTCCTTCTGATTTGGGGACCAAAGATAAGTGAAATTAGATATATATTTAGAAGGACCTCACCCAGGGTTGTGTGAATAGGTCTTGGTGTGCTGGAGTCTCTTTCTGGAGGTGGTTGTTATGAACGTGAAACCACTTGCTGGAGGGAGGCTTTTGTGAGGAAAAGAAAAGTTTACTCCAGTGAACAAAGATTAAAATTAAGGAACTAAAATTGGGGACAGATTCTAGCAGCTACCTGGGAAAAGCTGAGTTTATTACATCCCTGTGTAGATAGGAAGACTTTGAGAGAGGGAAACGGCAGCAGCCGGGAGAGATTTCATTCATGGGTGGATGGGCTAACATCAAGAGAGAGAAACATTAGCAATTATCTGGGAAAGGAATTAGGCCTATATATTATTGAAGGAGCTAAGGAATCTGGGGTGAAATGTTTATGACAGAGACCAAGGACGGTCTGCACAAGTGCATAGACAATCACTGGACTTCTCAGCGCCAGAGAGATCGTCTTCTATGTACTGAGAAATACATAAATACTGTTATTTCCTGAAAGCAGCCTGTTATCTTTGTCCTGTTTGTTTGTGAAGGACTCACTTAGGTCAGGAGTGACAGTGGTTTCTGCATTCTTTTGGTCCTGAACAAATAACTGGTCCAGACAAGCACAAATGGTAGCAAGGTTAACATTTACTAAAGGTAGGAAAAAAACAGGCTCTGAAGAGCAATTTTGCCCAAGTAAAAGTAAGAAAATCATACACTGTACAGGAGATCAGGTTCCTGAAAGAACACAGTAGCAAAAAGCTCAGGTGTCCACCGTCTTTTATATTTCCCCTCCTCAAGCTGACATTAGGTCTAGGCTATCCTATCGAAAACCTGCTTGAGTTCTCCTTTGAAGTTTACACACAAGGCTTTGGGAACTGCTCTGCACAGGTGCCCTGGGATTTTGTAATTAACAGGTCACACCTACTTCCCCAGCCAGTCTGCCATGCCCTAATCTCCTGCTTCAGTTGAGTTAGTGTCTGAGAAGATAAAGGCTGAAACTGTAGTTCAGTCAAGATTGGCATGAAGGTGCTCAACTGGCTGGAAAATTCAGGATATTTCAAGGTGCAGTGAGAGCCCTAATTATGGGTTAGGGTCCCACAAGAAATGTAGAATCTATGCAGAGTCCCTAGACATGGTGAGTGCTGTTTCAGACCATGCACAGTAGGAGAGACCTTCCCCACTCTGACCCCCAAAACAAAAAATGTATTGACACAAGCATACACCGAGAACGTTACATTTAGCTTAGGCATCATGCACATTTGCAGTGTAGACCTAAATCCATGTAAAATCAAGAGGCCCAGACTACCTTCAATTTTGATGCAATGTCAACCACACTACTGTCCAGATCCCAGATAACTCTTAGAAAAAAGTTCTTTGTTAGATTGTTAGTAAAAAGAGTATTTATTTACTTCTATGTATTACCTAATTTGGCCATTCATAATGAAACAAGTGCTATGAACAGTGTTAAAATGCTCAGCAATCTTTTTTAAAATTTGCTTTTTTCTATTTTGCTTTAGAAAGCATTTGCCTGTGCAGAAGAGGAGGGTGTCCAAGAAACCAATGACTGCTTGCTGATCTATGATGACGAAGGCATAGACGATGCTCCTGATTCTCCCGTGGGATCCCTGGGTTGCTGTAGTTTTATTGTTGATGACCCGGATGACAGCTTCTTGGACTCACTTGGCCCCAAATTTAAAAAACTTGCAGAGATAAGCCTGGGTATTGATAAGGAAGCCAAACAAGTTCAACCACCCCCTTCATACAGTGGTGCTGGGATTGACCACAAGAGTCAATCTTATGGTCGACCCCAAGGAGTTGACCACAAGGATCAACTTTGCAGTCAGCCCCAAGGGATTGAGTCTTGTGGTCAACCCCTTGGGGTCGACCCTTGTAGTCGACCCATAGAAGTCCAGCAGTCAGAACTTGAGAGGTACCAGACTTTTCTTGGCAGTCAAGGAGTTCATGCTTCGTCAACCTATGGGTCGCTCCAGCCAGCCATTCCCATCCCCGACCCTCTGCAGCAAGGTAACTATTTGGTAACGGAAACTTACGCAGCTACAAGTTCCTTTATGCAACCTACCACTGCAGTCTTTGATCCACTTCTCACACAAAATGTAACAATGACGGAAAGGGTGATTTGTCCCCTTTCCAATATCCCTGGTTCCACAGACCCACGAGGTTCATGCAATATGCTTTGTACTGAAGATCCTTGTTCCCGTCAGTAACCAGAATGAACAAAAATAACATACTGGCCAACAATTTGGACCAAATTATTTAAAATAATGTAGCAGAGCTCACGGTTTTGGCCTATAGTGACATTTATTATATAATACTCTCATAAACTAGCCATGATGACAGATTAAATATTCTGGTTCATACCACAAACATGGATATGTTCTCACTCTTAATTCTCTAATGTTTTTCAAATTACAGGAAACTTTTATGTTTATTTTTTTTAAATCTTATGATTATGTTATAAGGGAAAATTCCCTAAACATTTTTGAACTGCGCTTTCAGTGCCCAAGGAAAGTGTTTATTGCTTTAAAATGCAATGTAGTTTAGTGGATGATGCACTTGGAGTCAAAATTTCTAGTTCTTGTCTCCATCACCTTTTCTTGTATCTCTAATAATGGTATGAGAATACCATTAATAATGACTTAAGAATCACAAAATATTTGCTAGTGCATTTTGAACTGCTTGGGGAACAGCTGTGTTTTCCCATCTTCTTGACCCTGGTGCATCTTTTCTAAAGCTAAGGGCTATGAGCTTGTGTATGAAACTTGCTATATCTGTATCCCATTTATTCTCAGAAGAAGACGATTTTGAAATAGAAATAACATAGGATGTTTATGAAAGTGTATTATGGTGTAAATACTATTTTTTGCATTTTTAATCCTCTAAAGGATCTATCCAATGAAAATAACTCCCCACTATGTACATCTCAATAGCAAATGCTGTGTTAGTGTTTGTAAAAGTAGCTCCTTACTTTTTAAGTGTTAGTGGAAAGATATAAATTACACATGACATGCAGTAGGGTTTATTAATATCTACAGCCTCGGTGGGACAAAATACAGCTTTTCTTATAAGCAAAAGGAACTACAGACTAGAGTAACACATGGTGAAATCTGTAAATATGTATTATAAGCAGCATTTCAGGAAAATAGTTGGAAAATAATTTTCAAGTCAAAAGGGACACCAAAATATGATTATGTATAAACTATTTTTTCAGCCTTTTTCTTCTAAATTAAACTGCTATAGCAATTCAATGCTTGAACATAACAACGTTAGGTTAGTGAAAGTGTAGAGTATATTTTGTGCATGTTACCGTAATGGGAATGCAGGTGTTCAAGTCATTTCTGGTCATCCAAGATGTTCACCCTTTATCCCACAGAGAACTCCCTACCTGTGGCTCCCTGACGTAATCGTCTTTGCTGAGTCTTTACTAAGTCATTGTTTGGTTCCATTATTTTTAATGGTGTTGCAAATACAAAGTTTGAAATTTTCTTGGGCTTTTACTTTTTTGCCATAATAAAAACTGAAATACATTTTTCTGGATAGACTGCAAACTACTCAAGTGTTTATGTCTTTGACCTAGGAAAGGTACAAGTCTGAGGATGCCCAGGAGTAAGCAACTGCCTAAATATGGCTTCCCTGGCACCCCGACTGCCCGGAAGGCCAACCCTATAAGCACTGGTGGCCTGAGCCTCCCAACAGGGATGCTCCTGCTGCCACGCGGCTTTCCACATGCCCCTGTCAGGGTGAGAGGAGCCAGGCCCCCGGAGCAGCCTGCCGAGTGACTGTTGTTGCCATGCTGTTTCTTGTTTCTCAGTGGAGAGCCAGCTCTGGGGTCTAAAACACTCAGGTTGATTTGCACCTCTGTTTAAGTTAATAATCACAAGAGCCTTTATTTAGACTTCAAAGGTATATGTAGGATCCTCAAAGCATTTTAGCTTTGTTTCTTAAAACCAATTTATAAAACAAGAAATTTGGCTACATTACTGAAGTGCTGAGGAAGCCAGGTCATAGTAGTAAAGAGTATATTAGAGAAAAACTAAAATTAAATATGATTTCAATTTTTTAAAAAAATTGGCCTTTAAGGTGACCTGAAAATTCAGTTTCCATGTAAAATGTATCTGCATTTTTTTCATCAAAAATAAAAGTTGTTCAAAACAGAAAAAAAAAATTTTTAACCATTCTTTGGCTTTATGTATTATATATGTTAATATATATGTATTAAGCATAATGTAACATTGTCATAATAAAACTCCTTAGCAATAAATGGATGAGTACCTCCCAGAATATTTCATAAAGCTAAACTTTCCATAATGAAAAGCTATTAGGAAATATGATATAAAATAGTAGCATATGAATTTTAACAGTATTTACAATGTTTTCCTTTTTTCTAGCTGGTACCTTATCTGCATCTTCCCAGCAGGAAGAAAATATCGGGGGGGGGTTCAGGATCACTTTGGGTGCACAGGGGCTGGATGAGGTCAGGGCAGAAAGGCTTTGTTTACCTGGCTGCATTATGTCATTTCTTGTATATTTGATATGTAGGAATAGGTTCCCATGCAAAAGTGGGGCATTCTATTCAAAGAGAAAAGGTGGAGTAAAGAGAAGGTAATGTTGCCAGTCCACTCTGACGGGAAGCTGTACCACAGCCCGGTGAAAGCCCCCTGCCCCAGTGGTGAGTTGTTCCCTCAATAGCTACCTCTGCCTTTATGTCTGCCTCTGAAGGATGCCACAGAACGAATCCCTCCAGAACTTGCTTATGGCTACCTCCCTCCTTCTCAAACCTGGACAGGGAGGCCAGGATACGGGGAGAAGAGCCCGGATTAAAGCGAATATCGAGGGGAGAATGGTGGGTACCTTACTCAGTGTTCCAAGTCAATTCCAGAACGGTGAAAGTCGTACGGTTAAATTTCAATAACAACAACCAACTTCTTGTATTCATAGAAAGTTCAAGGAATAAAAATAGTAAAATTGGTTTATCTTAATCTGAAGACCTCAAACAGCAGGTGAGAGCATCAAGGAACAGTAAAAGGGCAGGGTCCTTGCTCTTGGCAGTTCAGTGTTTTCTCACTTCCTTTACTGATCTACAAAGAATCGGAGATGACAAGGTTTAACACTTGTTCGATAACATGGTCTGAAATGGTTTTATGGAAGGGGGGAACTGATGAGAAAAGAAAACAAACCATCATTTAAATTCCAGGTGTCAGAACCCACAAGTTTTCCTCCGTGCACACTGAGAGTCCTTCTGCTTTGCCTGGTCCAGAGTGGACTGAGATTTCTCCATGACCAAGATAATCAGCTATTTTCCGGTTGGTGTCTTTATTTTTCTTTTATGCACTGATATTTTTTACAAATGTAAAACAAAAAAAAAATCTAGTCGTGATGCTGATTTGGTTAAAACTCAAGAGAATCATATCTAAAAACAAAGTCTAAATTGGTACAGTTACCAGAACAGGCAGGCAAGAGGCACCCATGAGGGATACAAGGTAGTTGGAAAAGCTACAGACTTTTAATCCTTACAGTAATACTTAAAGTATGGCCACAAAAATAAAGAGACAGAAAAGCAAAGTAACCTCCTCCAGGTTATACGATACAGTGGCACAAATATAAAAGTGTATCTATAGTGATCCAACTATTCTTTCAGAATAATCTGTTCACTTTCAGTTCAAAGACTTGAATGGCACATTAAAAATTAAAACCATATAATGAAAATTACAAAAGAGACTTATAAATCTAGGCATTGATTCTAAAGATTAAAGAAGCAGGGTGCTATAGACATATACATATATAAATATATTTTTGACATAAATATATGGGGAGAGAGAAACAAATTATGATAAGGGAGACAGACGGACAGACCATGCTAATACTAAAGACAAGAATTTCAATTGCAGGACCAAGCATTTGAGCTGAACTTAAATTTCAATTTCTGGTGTGAAAGAAGCTATAAGCATAGAAATAAGCTACCTGGAAGTCACACAATCTTTTCCAGTAAACTTTCAAGAATTTTCTGTGTAGTTAGTATGACACTATTTAGAAGACATAGGGTAAAATAAATCTAGGTATAAAAAATTATAAGCATAAATGGGTCCTTCCAACAGTGTTTTCATGATTTGTGGAAAAGGACATACTGTAATCACTACAACTCTCTGACCCCATGAAGTCATCTCTATTTCTACTTTTATTCCAGCAAAGCATGTGGGACCATAATATTTTCAATTTTACGCCTTGAAACATTTCTGATGGTTTCCAAGTGTTGAATTCATCACTATTAACTTAGCAAATGGTGCATTTCGGTGAAAACACAGAGCATCAGGCAACGATAACTTTAACAAAAAACACTGGGAGTGAATGACTATGTATATCATTTCCACAAGGACAGAGGTATTTATATTCTCTCAAAATCAGAGAGGACTACAAAGAACTTTCTTAATTATAAAGCAGCAAAGAATCATGTAATCTTACATTCATGTAGATGGCGTAATGACATGGTTTCACTCCCCTAAAGAGACATTGTTACTAAACCTAAAATGAATATTGAAACACAAAATTAAATCCATTGACCCACCCCTTCCAACCTGGCCCACTCTGAACCTGACATTTGGGGAACATTTCAGGTCTAAACCATAAAATGGTCCACCCGCAAGACAAAACAGGTTTACACACACACACACACACACACGCACACGCACACGCACACAGCCTCAGGTAAACTCACAGCTTGGTGTAGCTGAAGTGCTGAAGTAGTATCTTGGACCAGTAGTATCTATGGACCAGACGCTACTGCTCAGTGTGTGTCATGGATACAAAGTTTTGGCATCCAAGGAGTCTGCTCTCTGGTTTTACTAATTTTAAAAAATCACCTTAGATTTTCTACCTAAATTTTCTTTATATAAGATATAATGCAGAGGCCTTATTTCACTAGACTTGACTCTCACTGAGGACAGAGATCTCCAAGCTATTGATTAGTTGAAAATGTGTAATCAGTAGGGCATGGCTACCTGTGTCTGCAACCCCAGCTACTCAGGCAGCTGAGGCAGGAGGATTGCAAGTTTAAGGTCACCTTGGGGTGGGTAGACTGGTAGATGCTTGCCTAGTATTCTTAGAGCCTGGGATTAATCCATACTACTATATCACACACACACATACACACACACACACACACACACACACACACACAAAATCAACTCTCCATCTCTTAAGTTCTAACTATTTTCTGAATCTTCCTTCTTACTGCTATAAATTGCTATGGATTTTTCCTTAGCAGCTGTTTTACGGCTGCCAACTGAAATCTCCGTTAATTTTCTAACTTGCCACCCTTTCTATATGCCCTGCCTTGGACCTCAGACATGTTCTCTTTTGTGCTGGTCTTTGACTATTCTTCCAAAGCAGCAAACCAGCAATGAAGGCACA